TCCCCCCCCTACCCCCCCCCCCCCCATAGACGGATTAAATGTTAAATATTTACCTTGATTTGATCCAGTAATGCTGTAGCAATATTTGTATGTTGGTCAATTAATCTCTTTTTCTCCAGTAATTCTGGTAATGAGCTGCAGAAGTGGACAATTAAGGGTCAGATTTTGCGATTAAAAAACATTTCACTCTTTCGACAAAAAGGAGTGATATTTATACCTTACAGCTGACGTGAGTTTAGACGTATGATCCGCGCTCATTAAATCCGTGATGGCTCCTTCATCGCTGTCATCTAAACCCTTTTATAACAATATAGTTTATTAATTTTTGTACAATTATAGACAAGTTTCGGAGATAAAACATGACATTACCATGATATTTTTTAACCGTTTCACTTCTCCTTCAGATGCTTTGTACTCATCCAGCTCTTTCTGGATTGATTCAGCAACGTTTGGAAACGGACTACAGGAAACAAATTCCCGCGTTAGCATAGGGCTTCAGTTTCTCGTCTCAATGCATAATTTCAAATTTTGATTACCGCAACCACTTACTAGCTTAGTACGCATTGGTTAATGGTCCCTTAATGGTAAGCGGTGATGGTAGTGAAAGTGAAGTCTGAACTCTCAAATGTATCGATCTGACAGTTAGCAGAATGAAGAATGAGGGAATACTGTTCATTCTTTTCATTATATGTCCCAACCCCGTCTACGGTGGAGGGGAGAGCCTGGGTACGAGTGTAGTGTTAAATTTTCTTGTTGCTAAATGGTTATTGAAATCCACCAACAAAGATTCTATTTCTGTTTGTTACTGACAAATATATAGTGAAACCCACTCACCTTCCTCTGTGATTATTCCAGAAGTTATCAGTGGCACTGATGTCATATGATTTAGTCTTGGTTGGTCTTGGTCGCGAATGACCATGCTCTGTCGTTTCACTGTCTGGTGCACTTTCTTTTATCACAACACGATTTAAATGAAGATCCTTGAGAAGAAAGGAAGCATTGACAATAACAAAATCAACCGGATATTCAACCACAATTATTTTTCCTTACGACTGTCTAAATCTAATCTGTGCTCCCTGAGCCTCTCTCGGCCATAACCTTTTGGTTCAGTGTTACCACAGGAGGAAATTGGAATACATTGAGAAACTTACAGTGTTTGGTAGAGTCACACCGAAACCACTCTTCTCACGTGCAACTGACGTGAAATTATAATCAGGCAACTGAATATTTCAGGATTGAGCCTTGGTTGTTGAGGTGCGATGGACGCATTATACAGGGGTAAAAACGAATAACCAGTTCCCGGTTGAAATCGACAAGCTTGAACAAGGTTGTGTTGCAGCCTATGAACAAATTGTCAACAATGTTGTTACAACATTGTTAACAACTTGTTCTTAGGCTGCAACACAACCTTGTTCAAGCCATAGATACAGTAGGTTCAAGCCTGTCGATATGAATCGGGAACAGGTTGGTCGTTTTTACGTGTGTGTATGGAAGAATTGGAGTAATGTGCATAACAAGCTCTTACCAAAACGTCATGACATAACGCCTGATACGTCCACGTATGATGTAATGGTGTACAGAGGTCAATATTTCTATCCAATATTATTAACACAGGTCGCTGGAAACTAAAAAAATGCCCATTCTTTAATGCCTTGGAACACGTTTTATTTAAACCATTGCAGTTGAAAAGTTTTGTTGCTTTGTTTACCTAAATTGCCCCGTGCTCATATCGCCTGCGAATAAACTGTTCCTAGCGTCGCGGAGATTTTCTCGTAGTTTCTTGTCTAACGCCTAAATGTAGAACCATTTCAATCAGTGGAAATTTCACAAAATAAAAAACAAAAAGGTTTTCTTTACTAAACAGTACCTCCGACACTATTTCAGCAGCATTCCCACGAGGACAGCGAATGACTGGAACAGTACCTGACAATTTCATTCGGAAATCATATTAATACTGAATATATAATTGTCAACTTTAGACGTTGCATACATCTTACACAACGTCTCAAAAATGTGCCAAATAGATCAATCGTTGCTACAATAAATGTACATGGTGTTTCCACAACCCAAAACTTATTCTACACTGGTGGAACTACAGTACAGCTTCCTATCATTCCAGCAATAGTGACCACATACTGTATCACAACTAATTTTGTTTTGCGAATGGTTCCAGCTATCATCTAATTTTTTATCTAGACAAGAACGACAAAATCTATCATCATAGCTCAAAAGAGCATCCTAAAATTAGTAAAATTGCAGAGTTTGGTTGCAAAATGTTGTAAAATACGAAAAATTGATAGCCCTGTAAAATTAGCAAGTTTTGAGTATTTTTAATTAGTATTACGCGCGGAAAAATGCAAAAATGCACACTTTCGTCTCAAAAGTGGTGCATTTTTCCGTGCGTAGTGCATTTTTCCGCGCGTAATATTAAAATACTAAAAATTTTCTAATTTCACAGGGCTATATTTTCCGTATTTTACAACATTTTGCAACCAAATTTGGCAATTTTACTAATTTAAGGAATGATGTTCTTTTGAGCTATAATGATAGATTTCGTCGTTCTTGTCTAGATCAAAAGTTAGTGTGTACCTGGAATCATGTATTGCATAAGCCAAGGTAAAACGTCATACCTAGTGTCACTAAAAATGAGAACAGACTATCCACCACTGCATCACGAATATTTTCAATGTCTGTGTCTTTAGCATCGGGTCTGTTTAACGCTAAACAAATTAAACAAAGAATGCTTGAAAATGGTCTGATTTTTTGCGATGTACACAGAGATGATTTATCTGCATGTCCAACTAATTTACTTTGGCAAGAAAAAGATGGTTCATCTGATAATTTTCTTACCATAATATGATATTGAATCTCGTTCTTGATATCTTGTCGTAAACATATTTTCTTCCAGTGAGATAAAATTTAAATATTGATCAAATACCTAAAGAGTGAGAGTTCACGAGAGTCGGGAAGCGAGAATTTGCATGACAGTTAAAAAAATTCTCAACTCTCATGTCCTGGCCAAAAGAGAACAAGAGTTCTGTTAATTGGATATTACCAGTTACTGTAAACGAGCAAAAACTCTCATCAAAATTTGAACCAACTCTAAGCTGATGAGAGCAGATGAGAGTTGACAGTGAAACACAAGCGAGAATTGCATCTCTCATCAATTCTCATCCTTGTTTTGACTGAGGCATCACATACAAAATTTCATGCCTAAATTATTTCTCAATTACTAATTTCTCAACATATCCCAGTAGTGTTGTAACCTTTGAAATTTGAGCGACACAATCTCCTTGAAGAACAGTAGTTGCCAAGTCTTCCAACTGACGTCTCATGATTGCAGTTATAAAATTCAAGTAATACGATTCATAGCATTGGTTTCTACAATCCTGAGATGAAGTTAAATACTTTGTGAGAAAGTTATGAATAAGAGGAGTAAAAATAATGTGGTTTATACATGGGGAACAACTTCTTTTGAACAACTTCTGGTGGATGCTTAGTATAGAATAGAATAGAATAGAAACTTTATTTCACGAGGGAAAACGTATTAACCGTAAAAGTTATCTAACATACGGCCCTCTTAGTGCAGGGGTTCTTTTGTTGGGGATGTATAATAATTTACATGTATACATGCCTCAGCAATTTTAACCATTCAATACCCAGTTTATTATAACTAAGATTGCCTAATAGTAGAGGATTATTTTAAATTATACCTGACATATTCTTTTAATATTTTCTTCAGTGGGGAGAACAAAATAGACGGCTGGCACATCAGGAATGGCATCCCTGTCCGAGTGCAGCAATCTATATGGAGAATAGAAGAAATGCTTTGCAATACATTCTGAAGACAAGAAGATCAGATCCACCAACTTTCTCATTCATTTCTTTAATTGTAATACTTACAAATGCAAAGTTACACCTAGTTCCCGTAATTCTGCTACAGTTAAAAGTGGTGATATTATGTCTTGACCAAAGCGATCATATACAAGCACCTAAAAAATGTTCCCAGAGTAAAAAAATGTTATTTTCTGCTGGCTGAGGAAAAAGAGGCAGAAAATGTTTGTCTCATGCATTGCTAGGGGATTGAGTCTAGGATGAAGTCAAGGTCATCAGAGTCACTTTTTTGTTTGCCTCGTGCTAGCCTGACCTGTGTGACTAGCAACCAATAGGCCCTCTGGCAGGAATCGAACCTACAGGCCAGCAATTCCAATTCAGCACTCTAACCAGCTGAGCTACCCATAACCTCTGAGCCATGTTACAAATAATTATATTAAATAATATCATAGTTGCCTCGAAATCCTTTGTCTCGCGAGGTACGATTACCAACTAATTTACCTCATTACCCATGCATACGCTTTGTCTTCTAAATTTACCCGGTAAATTTAGTTGAAAACAAAGGATTTCTTTGTCTTCTAATCTTCCCCTGCATGCTTGATGAGGGAAATTTAGAAGACAAAAGCGTACCTCATTACCTCTGATTGGAGAGCTGTACCTCATCGAAAATCATCGGCACAACTATGGACAGTATCTGACGACACCGTCCCATACACATTCGAACAATCACTTTGCCAGCTTTTATTCCCTAATCTTGAACATTACAATTGTGGGAGAAAATTCCGTTTATGCGCATGCCTAAAACGAATGAACACGGAGATGTGTTTCTGCGTGTGCGTATATATGAAAAGTGTTCGTACCACAATCATAAGACAATCAAACAGCATTCAAAACAGGCAACACACCACGCACGATTCCCTCGGCAACTACGATATTACAAAGTAATAGCATGGCATTACGGTCGATTAGTGATGAAATGTCCCTCAAGACTCGAGAGGTTTAGTAAAAGTCCTCTTTTAGAGGTTTACTAAACCTCTCTCGGCTTTCGGGTACATTTAATCACTAATCGACCTGAATGCCATGCTATTACTTATAATAAATCTTATACAAACTATTGTTCAACAGAACAACTCCTTTACAAAAGAGAGGTTCAGATTTTGACTACAAACACCACCAATCAAATGCATTTAATCTACTCGATTAACCAATCAAATGCATTTAATCTACCCGATTAACCAATCAAATGCGCACTTTGAGAGGTAGTGGTCTAGTGGAAGTCAAATCTGAACCTCTCTAATCGGAACAAATTTAATCCTTACTTTCCAGACAGGCTCAACAGATGCAGTTTTTCTTGGTATATCATTCAGATTTATCATACGTTTGAGACATTCTAAATATAGCATAATTTTATCATTATAAGAATTGTTTTTAATATTTTATATACAAACTATTTTGATTTTCCAAAGTCTATAACTAACAAGAAAACGACTTATTTGTGAATTAAAAACCCCAGTTCAACAGCTGAAACGGTCCTTCATCACTCTAGAACCTAGAAAACCAATCGATGCAGTCGCTGGACGATAAAAGCGTAAAAACTAAAGCTTACCCGTCTGTTTTGTTCGAATACTGGCAGCCATCTTGTTATGATGACCTGCACTGAACATGCGCATACTGGTATGCATTTCATGCTGATCACTTTGCCACGTTGAAATTTTTTCTGGGAATCCATAGGCAAGGGCATATCTATGGGCAAGGGCAACCTCCGTCGACCAAGATTTTGTCTTGGGGGGGGGGTATGAGGTTAGATTTACCTGATTTTTTCGGTTTCACCTGATCTTGCGACGCCTGCGTGGTTGGAGCCGAGCAAAATGTTTTGAAAATTTGAAGTCTCAAAACCGTCGGAAATGGCATTTTTTAGAGTCTTTCCTACCCAATATTTTAGTACTGCCTAAGTATTGATAAGTATTGCTACTTACAGTTTAATGTGACTAGGAAAATTAAGAAAATATTGAAAATTTGGAGTCTCTAGATAATAATAATAATAATGATTTAATAAAGGCCCATTTCCACTGAAGAAAAATTTCCACGGACAGAAAATTTTCCGAAAATATCATTGTTAAAATTAAGTTGAAAATTTTCAACTTCAAAAGTTTTTTTCCCACGGAAAATTTGTGTCAGCCAATCAAATTGTACAAAATTTTCTTTCCGCGGAAAATTTTCTTGAGTGCAAATGGGCCTTAACAGTGTATCCACAGAGTGGCTGTTCAACTGCTATAGATTACAAAGTAAAGTTTATCTATATCCTCATCAGTGTTATATTCATTTCACTGACCCTCATAAAAATGCTCATGAGCATATCGGATTTTGGTACATATATTATGGGCGTGCTTACGAGAATACCTTATTTTGCACGCTCATATATATATATATACCAAAATCCGATGATACTGGTCGTGCTCATCAGCATACTGGATTCTGGATTTTCACACATTATTGTGGTATCTTCATATAAGTACGCTTCATATAATTAGGGATTCTCATAAGCACGCCCAGTATATGTACCAACATCCTGTAATATGCTCATGAGTATGCTTATGACCAAACTGCATAATTTTGGTGTACCTATGAGCGTGCTTAATTATGAGACACCCCATAAAGGGATTCTCATAAGCACGCCCCATATATGTACCAACATTCTGTATAATATGCTCATGAGCATGCTTATGACCAAACTGCATAATTTCCATGTGCCTATGATGGTGCTTATGAGATACCCCATATAGGGATTCTCATAAGCACGCCCCGTATATGTACCAATATTCTGTAATATGCCCATGAGCATGCTGATGACCAAAGTGTGTAATTTTCGTGTGCCTATGGGCGTGCTTATGAGACACCCCATATAGGGATTCTCATAAGCACGCCCCGTATATGTACCAACATCCTCTAATATACTCATGAGTATGCTTATGACCAAAGTGCATAATTTTCGTGTACCCACGAGCGTGCTTATGATATAGGGATTCTCATAAGCACGCCCCGTACTCTCTCCTCCGCAGAGGCGCCTTTCCCTTTGCCGCCTGCGCTCCTTCGCCCAGCGACTACGCTCGTGTTCCAAGATCCGCCATGTAAAGTGTAGTGAAATGTATCTCATCGTAATATTAAATCCTAAGAAAACTAAAGCCTCTGCGGAGGAGAGAGCGCCCCGTATATGTACCAACATTCTGTAATATACTCATGAGCATGCTTATGACCAAAGTGCATAATTTTTGTGTGCCCATGAGCGTGCTTATGATATAGGGATTCTCATAAGCACGCCACGTATACGTACCAACATTCTGTAATATACTCATGAGCATGCTTATGACCAAAGTGCATAATTTTCGTGTGCCCATGAGCGTGCTTATGATATAGGGATTCTCATAAGCGCGCCCCGTATATGTACCAACAATACATTCTGTAATATACTCATGAGCATGCTTATGACCAAAGTGCATAATTTTCGTGTGCCCATATGCTTATGACTAAAGTGCATAATTTTCGTGTGCCTATGAGACACCCCATATAGGGATTCTCATAAGCACGCCCCGTATATGTACCAACATTGTATAATATGCTCATCATGCTTATTACCCAGTCAGAGTCAGCGCTCTCCCTCTACAAGTAAAATCATCTGGTGTTAGACAAAGTATTAATTTAATTATTAAGCAACTCGATGGCTTAACCCATTAAGTTGCATTGCACCCCAATGTGCCCTGCTTTATTATTTTACTCTGTCTAAACACCAGATGATTTTACTCGTCAGGGGCATATTTTTTCACATATAATGGCACTTATGTCATATTTAAAAATAGCAGGGTCGTGCTAGACGCGGTAATTGGGGGGGGGGGGGTATATTCATATAGTGGGCATGTTCCGCACATACCGTAAAAACAATCGCTTTCCAAAGAAATCCATCAAGCACAACACGAATATATGAATATGCACCCCCTCCCAATTATCGGTCTAGCTGGGCCACTGAAAAATAGGTACGCTAAGCGTACTTGTCTGCTCATGGTGTTTGCATTGTTGCCAAGGAGTTTTTAATCAATACTCAGTAGCTTGTAAAAATATTATTAAGAGACTCATGATGTTTAAATGAATATGTTTTTTCTATAAACATCACAAATATATATTATGTATAGTTGACTAGTTAAATGATCGAGGTTAGATTTATACAGGGTTCATACATGTGAAGAAGAGTCAAATTCAAGGCCATGTATCAGCAAATTCAAGGACTAAATACTGAAGAAAAGAAGTTAGAAATCAGTAAAATCTGACGTTGAATTATTCAAAATGCAACTTAAATTAATAAGTTTCAAACAGTCAAACAGCTTTGTCAGACAGCCTTTTACACATTTTTTTATTTTTGGTGTTAAAAAACATACATATGCATTATATTATTCCACATTTTGAGAAAAATTTTTAGTCTTTGGCAGTTGGCACCAGAACAGCCACACACTAAGCAAAACATTTTGGTAAATGTCCTTTGACGGCCTTTGACAGTTTGACTCTCAACCGCTCTCAACAACGAGTTTAAAAAATTAACTTTATTTCACCCGTGACTTTTTATTTTGTCATGAGTTAATTTCGTTTTGCCGTGAGTTAACTATATTTTCCCGTGAGTTTCAATTTTGTTTTGCCGTTGCAGTTAATTTTATTTTGCTGTGGCTCAGTTACTTTCGCTGTGACACTTGAGGGTTACCCAAAACTCTTCTAAGCTTGGTGGGATTAACGGATCACTTCAATTAGCCAATCAGATTAAGAGCTTTTGTGGATCGTGATCTGATTGGTTAAAATGAAGTCGGACCAGAAAGTAGACGGGTACCTACAAAATGGCGAAATAGCTGGTATCCTGGCGTGAAACTTAAAACTTTTATAGAATTAGAACTATAGAGTATAGTTTAATTTAGGTTTTTAATCTTGTTTTAAAATTTAATATGACATAAAAAAGTAATAAAGATACATTTTTAGATTTTTATAAGTTAGATAGAAAGCACAAAACACACTGCTAACGTTTTTTAGCCGCAATTCAATTGATCGGTATAAATTTAGAAGATCTGTTTTTATATCGAATGGTATTAAAATTAGAAATAAAATTTTTAAAAAGAAAAGTGCCTCATTAGTCCATACTTCCCGACTCTGCTAGCCCGTATCGGTCAAGTCCGTCTCGTGCTAGCCGCTAGAACGCCGTATGTTAACGTTTAAGCTAGATTTCGGCTAAACTCAACGCTATCGTCAGAGGCGGTGAATAGGTGGCTTACCAACCGGTATCGAACAAACGACGGGGGAGGGTGCCGGCGGCCCCCAGACCATTATGCCTGGCACCCTTTTCGCAAGATCCTATGATCGGTAACTACCACACACAAGTAATAGTAACATTTCGGTATATAAGTACGTAACAGTTGTCTGGTGTGGCGCATGTGGGACGCTTTGGCTCGGGATTTACCGAATCTTTGAAATGAACGCATGCGCGATAATCTGACACGTAGCGCATGCGTGGGCATCATCCAATCAGGACGCAGGAAAATTTCGTACTGGCCCGCGAGTTCGAGACACGTGCGAGACGGCTCAAAAATTTCAAAAAATTATTTGTTTTCAAAACAAATTCAGTGAAAATATATATTATTCACATGTATTTGCTTGTCGAAGGTTAAAATTTAAAGACTATGTCTATCCAAGACGATGAATGGACTGGAAAAGATGAAGGCGAAGTGAAATCTACACCGTCAATTAACCAAGAGGTCGCGCCGCCGTTGGTTTCTACTTTCTAGTACTGACACGAAAGGTACAAAGCTTTATATTTTGTACAGTCTGTTTTGTTTCCTTTTTTGACGATAGTTGATGCGAAATATTCTTGTCTAAAGCTTGCTTCAATTGGCAAAAGAGGAATGTTCTTAGTTTGGCTTTATTAGTATTTGTAATTGTATTTATGAATCCTATATATAAAGTTTCTAAAATCTTGCATATACTAGTGTACATTCTTTCATACAGAACATCCCCTTCTGAAAAGTATCTCACTTTGTCTAGAAAGCCTAATCTCAATCACAAAAAGGATGGCAAAGGTGATGTCAGTATTTTCCGGAGCCGTGTATATATATTGTTTTGAATTGTATGATTCAGCTAGGATATGATGAAACGTTGCATGGTAATATATTGTGGGCCATTCCGAATATAAGTTTCCCTGAATATAAGCCCATCCATCTCTAAGCCCCTTTGGTTAATTTAATTAGCACAGCGACAGTGATTGCGGCAGCTCCTGAAGACAAGTGACAATAATTAGATTACAGTATTGTAATGTATAGATTATACACTGTATGTTTATTTCTTTTTGTTCACGGTATAGTTTACACATACAATAATGTTATTACTAACATAACCCCCTCCCCCGTAATTCTATATTTAGAATTTTATATATTTTATATTATATCTTATTGGATTCTTCTGAGCCCAATATGGTAAAATATTAGGTCAAGACTTCAGTATTGGGCAAGACAGAAGGTCAAACCTATTCAAGTCAAGTCTCGAGACTTAATTTTTGAAATTTGAAGTCTCCAGACCATCGATAATGGCATTTTTAGAGTCTTTCCTACCCAATATTTTAGTATTACCTAACAATGAAGATAAGTATTGCTACTTACAGTTTAATGTGACTAGGAAAATTAAGAAAAATTTTTAAATTTGGAGTCTGCAGGTCGTCAAGAAGGGTATTTGGCCATGCCCCCCTGCCACGACTGGCACGACACATCTCAACATCTTTAGTTGGCCGATTGTTAATTCTGAGCATAGAGTTTACTTTTTATATATGCCCTGCAAATTACCTGAATTTACCAGAAAATCTACTGGAAATCAGTACCTGAAATTGCTCATGAGCAATTATTAGGGGTATTGCACCCCGGTCACTACAGCCCTGTCAATATAAACTATGACAGGAACTAACGTAAAAATCTAACAACTTGTCAACAAGATGTGTCCGCAACAGGCTTGTAGCAAGCTTGTCAACAAGTTGTAACAATGTTGTTATTTTATCAAGTTGCTACAAGGTTGTCACTCACAACTTGTTGCAGGATGTTAACAAGTTGTTAGAACAACTTGTAACAAGTCTGTTGAGATCAACAAGCCGTTGACAACTAAAGAAGCTGGGAACAAGCAGTGCGAACACATCATGTTGCAGTGCTGCAGGTTTGTTACAACTTGTGCGTTTTGACGTCATTATATGACACAGTTGAAATTGAAACTTGGCACAGTGACATTAAGAGCCCAGGTTCCAACCTTGTATTTGTTTTACTGTAAAGTTTTTAACTAATTTGCTGTCGTCATTACATTTCCCAAAAGAGAAGATACGTGACTTTACGGCAATTTTCCTCATGTGCGAGGGTTTTCGGGAACAATTTTGGAATGCGTGAATCTCTGCAATGTTTATCTGCACCTGTTCATATTTAGATGCAAACAACGGTAGGACAATTCCTAGAGAAACGAAGTTTCACGAGAAGCTGCGAATGGAAGATCGGAGGCAACTCGTGCGATCTTCGTAATGTTGATGTCATGCCGCTCGGACGGGTGGGCGCTGCAAGCGAAACTTTGCAAAATGGAGTCGATTCGAACGCTGCATTTTCCTTGATGGCCGCGTCTGTAAAACCGAACGCATCTCACGATGTCAAAAACCGTTTCGCTACAAAAGAAGGGACGTATACGTTGATGAACTTGTCTGAATATTGTAGACCAAACAGACTTCCCTATACCGTACAACATCCCTTTCCCGTAAGAATATCGTTTGTCACTTTGAAGGAGAAAGACTGCAGCACTGACCGAATTGCTTTTAATGTTGGTAAAGAATTGTATGTTTATGTCTATAAAGGTGTCAAAAAGGTAGGTTTAAAACCTAGGAAGGCTCATACTTCTTCGGCAGTCGATATAGTTTTGTGATTAACTCGTATTACAACAGAAATATGAACCTTTCAAGTTTGGCAAAATTTTAGTTGAAAATTATTTAAGTGAGTTCTGCTTGACATGAGCGAATTTCTACGTTTGTTGTAACATTTTAAAGCTGAGATTTTGTCAAATCGAATAAAAGCGGAATGGAAATGTCAAATAGCGAAATTTCTTTACTTGTCAAAGCCATCTGCTTACTTTTTCAATGTTTATTCGATAATTGTCAATCGTTGGAAACAATTCTTTTCCAAATATCAAAACAAAGCAATATATGCGAATATATTTTCTCAGTTAGGCAAGAGCACAGATGAATTAAGTTTTAACCTTATATTTTTGTATTTAAAAGTTAGAATTATGGTAAATAATTTTATATTCACAAATTTAACAACCTTGGAAAATGTTGAATTGTTAGCTAAATACTCCTTACCAGCAAAAAACACTCTCTGATTCGATGTCACTTATATTTATGTCGTATTGATAGTACAATTCCTTTTTAGTAGCATTTAGTATAGCCTGTCAGTGCATTAGTTGCCGTCTGAAATTGGGTGGAAATGGTTTTATTGTTTTAATTGTTTATCGACTGTTTGCAGTAGATGACTTCCTTCCTAATATTTGTTGAATGAGACATTTACAGACGAATGTGAGGGCAAGTGTAGTTTCTGTTTGGTTACAACTGTTGTGATTGAGCAGTGTTAGTACCCAGGTTGTGTGAAGTAAATACAAGTGAGAGTAATAGGGTGGAGTAGGGATTTCAAGGTTCATCGCCAGTTACTTTGTTTAGTACTTCAAATATCAATTCTGCTCTCCTTCCTCCACTCTAAGCTTTCAAACAAATGTATTTTTCTTCAACGCTATAGACCTTATTCATAAATCGTGATTGAGGGCTCGTATCCTAGGATATGGGAAAATTGACAAGATGTTTTTTTGCTGTCGGCTATGGCAGCTTTTTTCGAAAATATTACGGCTTTTTTCGAAAATATTATCTATAAAACTGAGCTTGAAAGTTTAAGAAAATATAACATGATATTTAAGCCAAAAGATGCTGGAGTCAATCGGAAAAGGAAACCTTTGACTTTGTATTATTGTCGTAGTTTGTATGGCCAAAACAAACAACCTACAAAACGTCTACAACACCAAAATCGTACGAAATATGAAACTATTGTTGAAGAAATAAGATTACAACTCACTCAGGTAATGCTGCCTTCATTTTCTAAACTTGTAAGCTGCTTGCAGAATGCCAAGCCACAGTTCATATTTTTTCGTACGAATCAATAACATTTGATGTTTTTTTTTGTGATTTTTGACCTCTTGTTTTCTTTCATATTAAATTAATATCAAATTCAAAAAATTTTACTTTCATTCCATAGTTGTCTTGATTTTTCACAGAATAACGTATATAATGATGTTAAAATCTCAGTAAAATTATTGTTTTTCGCTTCTGGTTAAACACCATCGCTACGTTGTCATATTTTCCACACAAAAAAACGGGAGAAAAACCGGTCGTTTTTATAATATACTCATTTACAGCTTTCATTGTGTGCACATAGTCTTTTAAGACTATTGCCACAAGAAACATTGAATTGACATGGTTGATGTGCCGTTTAATTAAATTTCAAATGATGTGAGCCAACAGATCACAACACTTTTGTATATAAAAAGGGCGCGTTAATTGAACAAGTCACATATTATTAGCACTGATGAAGATCTGGGCTTACGGATTGAAAGCTTTGCAGTAATAAATTTATGTGGTGTTTCCACAAACAATATAAGCTGTTAAAGCAGTTTTTGCTTGTTTTTCCACGTTTTTCTCTGTATCCTAGGATACAAGGCCTCGATCACGATTTATGAATAAAGTCTATAGCCTGGTCATTGGGTCGTTCCAGAGAAAATCCACACTCCCCCCACAGAGGAAATTTCTGCCTTCCGGAAGGGGAGGGGAGAAAAAATTGTTTCTGATAATAGTAAATGTGTTGGGACATCCGAAGGGGTGGGGCGATTAACTTCCAATTTCCTCTGTGGGGGATGGTATGGATGATTTCTGGAATGACCCATTTTCAAAAACAACATACTACTCAGGTTCAAATTAGTTGAGGAAAAATAATGTGCTTCTTTTTTAAAAAAAATGTGGCTCTAAATTTTTATAAAATAGGCTCATGATTGTCTTGCTCAGTCAAACATCTACTCAATCAAACTGCAATAATTTAATGATTTGAATACTTCTTAAACATTGTTTGCCATCTTTGATATACAAACCTAACACATAACGTTAATCAGTCATGTGTTTATCTGTCATGATGGCTAAAATTTCACACCTTCCAGTCTTCAAACATGCTGCTAGTGTGCATGCAAAAGCACTTGTTTATAAATTGTAAGACAACAGATTGACTTTGTATGTTCATTAATTTAATAGTCCCAGTCTGATTTTTTTGCACATCGTTTAGAAAAGCGATGTGCAATTTTCACTATTTGGTCCAAAACGGTGTGTAAATTGCACATTGCACACAATGCATTGCACACTGTTAATTCAAACCCTGATACTACTACATACTATTTAAAATTCTTGGTATATTAAATCTTCACATTATCTTGTTGAAGTTGTGTTGCTATCCAATCAATATATCCTCATCACCTCATATCTAGTTAATTTAGATGACTCTAAAACTCCTTAAATGTTCACAGTTAAGTAGCCTATTGGAATTTCTGACAATCCCTAAATTTTTCTGTTCCTTTTTTCCAAAAACAGGCTGCAGATTTGAATAAACATCTTGACAAACGAGGCTACAAAGGAACATTTCCGACATGTCACGACTTCAACTTACCAACAAGAAGTGTTGAATTTCTTGAACTTATTATTGGATTTTCTGCTGGACAGATTCAACTTATTGACCCGATTGGACATGAATTGAATAAACTATATAATGAGGAAGTGAGTTGACCCATTAAGTTACATTGTGCCCTACTTTATTATAATACTCATGGTGCTGGTCATTTGCCATGTGTCTAGTTAACCAATTAAGTTGCATTGTACTTTTTTATTTTATTTAGTTTTTAATACCAAATGATTTCACTTGTCAAGGGGAGGGCAATGACGCTCAGTGGGTTAATCTGTCTATCTGCCCATGTGTCTAGTTAACCCATTAAGTTGCATTCTCCAATGCCCTACTTTATTATTTTACTCAGTCTAATACCAGATGATTTTACTCATCAAGGGGAGAGCGCTGGCACTCAATGAGTTCTGGCAAAGGGTTTATAGTTGCATTTTTCACAACTGTTCCTGGTTAGATCCAGTGAACTGTAATAACACTTCTCTTAGAGTTCACTGGTTGGATCTAATAAATGTATAAACTTTACACTCGAGCTTTTCATCTCCAAACACTTGTACACTTATTTTACCCTGTCTAATACCAGATTATATCAACAAATTGTTAGTTTTTATTCTATATACACAGTCTGCTAATGGAATATTTTATTTTAGCGACAAGTAGACAAAGCATCTGTGAAGTGCATCAAATGGATCCCAGGATCTGAGAACTTATTCCTGGCTGCGTACGACAGCGGCAATATGTATGTATACAACAAGGAGAACCCCGCCTCCCCGGATTCCCCCACATTCTCCCTTCTCAAACAAGGACCAGGTTTTCAAATCTTTGGAAACAAAACAAAGACTCTGGGGAACCCCGTTTGTAAGTGGACAATCGGCAAGGGGAGTATTAACGAGTTTGCTTTCTCACCCGATTGTAAACATCTGGCTGTTGTTAGCCAAGACGGCTATCTGCGAATCTTTGATTTTGATGGGCAATCGTTAAATGGAATAATGCGAAGCTACTTTGGTGGATTGCTATGTGTATGCTGGAGCCCAGATGGGAAGTATGTCGTCACGGGCGGCGAGGACGATTTGATAACGGTGTTCTCGTTTTATGAGAACCGTGTTATTGCCAGGGGGGTTGGACATCAGTCTTGGGTAGGGATGGTACGATTTGACCCCTACCTAACAAGCGTCAGTGGTGGTGGTACGTTGGATGATAGCGATGATGAAGGGACGGAACAGGATATCCGAAACTCTACTTATAGCGAACGACATAGTACCGTTGATATGGATAGACCTAATGCGTCTTACAGATTTGGCTCAGTCGGCCAAGACACAATGTTGTTACTATGGGACCTTACTGAAGACGTCCTTAAACCAATAAAGCCAAGAACTCGAAGTTTACGGACACAAAGTTCACACTTGGGCAACAATGTCCCTAATGGACCTTCCAAAGAAGTGAATCATATTAGAAACTATATAACCACACACAATTTAAGTTCGTCAGTTGAACAGTTATTAGACCTGGATGATAAATCATTTGGGTCAGTTATTTGTCCCGTATTTGACGATGTTCCGCAGTTGGAGCCGCTGGTTGCAAAGAAAATCTCAATGGAGAGACTTTGTGGGTTAGAGTTCCGAGAGGATTGTTTGATCGTTGCCTGCCAGGAGGGTTATATCAGTACTTGGGCAAGACCTGGCAAAGCTGTAAGTTGGAATGTAAACCTCTACAAATATGTTCATTAACAATGCCCTTGACTTACCTAGACAATGTTTTCAATGTGAAATGCTTCAAAAACAACTCATCAGTATTCTTTATATACCTAAGAACAGTGTTTTATCAGATGTAAAGTTACTACATGTAACATGTTGGCAACTGAACTAAATTTAATATAATAATAATTTTTATTGAGGAAACTTTTTCATATTACATGATTTTCAAAACTTGTACTGGATAGGTTTATCAGTTCTAAAGTGTTTCCCCTGGAGGTCCATCTGGAGGTCCATCCTCTAGTAACCCCTTATTGCTCCAGTGTTACTGCAGGGGGGGGGGGATATCAGAGTACTCAGAGAAAACTCTACCTGTGGTATTTGGTAAAGCCAAACTGGAGAAAAACATGATCAGCCAATTGCATGAATCAAACCCCAACAGTTCTTGACAACCAGGGCCATACACCGGATTTTTCCAGGGAGGAGTGTATTATGGCAATAATACCTATAATACCTTTCTCGGGGAGTGGTGGGAGACTTGCCCCCCCCCCCCCCACTGTGTAAGGTGGCAACTATTCTGGTTTAGTTACATCAACAGCAACATTTTTGAACTGTAATCAAAATATTGCTTTTTTCTCTTTTGTAGACAAGCCCTGGGACGGTGGTTTAACAATCACTATTCATGACTGATCAGAAATGAATTCAATTTCATGTACTTGTTGTATAATAAATTATAGTTAGTCAAAATATCATTTGAAATTTGAGTTTCTTTGCTGGCGTTCGCGACTCAATAATTTGCGGAACTAATAGATTGCCGAAACATGGTATTATACGCGTAGCTTCAACTTTATTAGGGAGCTTTAAAAGCAAGCGACGTTCTTGTCAACAAGGACATCAAATTGCCGAGGGGGGACTGGAATAAAAACTCTGCTTGTGTCAGTTTGTGGTAATCTTCGACACACATGACAAAACATAAGATTTTTAAAGTTTTTTGCTTCTTTACACGAGCGCTAAGATGCAAAATGCCGCCAAAATGAGTTACACCAATTTTTGGGTGACGTTCGTGATGGCAAAAACGTCACTTGCTCGAGCTCACTAATGGGTTTTTTGTGCAATGGTACAATTCAGAAACTGTGGAAATGAACTAATGCCTTGCTTAAGGCTTATTTTCCACTATATGACTATGTGAATGTTTTGAATGTGGTGAAAATCAATTTTCTTTAATTCACTAAAGAAAGGCGAGCAAAACCCAGCGTGGTGCAGATGGAGGTCGACCAGTGTTGTCAGAGTGAGAAAACCATTCTTTTCATTGTGAAAACCATTCTTTTCATTGTATGTAGTGCTCTTGTATTTGGAGGCAAATAAAACGAACTACGATGTATAGTGGCGAAGCTAGCCATGCCGACTGGTCATCGAAATAGGTTAACGACTAGCTTTGTCACTGTGTAAAGTATAAGTGTCAACCACTGATGGATGATGTCAACATTTCTGAAATTGGCCATCTCTGCTGCCCCGCAACCAGCTTGCCAATGACGTCAAATTTGACAATAAGAAACTTGTGTAAAAATATGAAAAGATTAAGAACGTTTTGTTTAGCCCGATCGGTAAGCTAGGAGGGCCTGCTTGTAGGACTCGGGTAGTATCTTACAATACTGTAAGCTACTTGTGTCCAAATTACCTGAAAATGGTCAAAAACACTACCACGTTTCAAGTGGGGCACTTGTCAGGAGATCTAGAATAGGGAATATTCGCTGAAAACCACAGCAAATTTTTCTCAGGCAGTTCTGACCGAAACCAAAATAACTTAGAAGTTAATTTTGAAAGACAATGTATGCACAACCCGGAAATTTCTTTTTTTACCTCATGGCATTTGAAGATTATTAAATTCTAGCCCCTCTAATCGCCGTTTTACGAACTTCCATTTTCGGTATTGAACGCATTTTGAACGGACATAAATGGTAGTGACGTCATCATATCCTGTGGAGCGGCCTGGCACTAGTAAACTTGGGGCGGTGGAACGGAAGCCCGGTTACTTGTTGCCATCTTTGCCCTGAAAGTGAGTGGAAAAGATCGCAAAATAAAGCTAAATTTTCTCTCTACAATGGATTCGAAAGGGCACAAGATTGTTGTGTGTGATAATGGAACTGGGGTACGTATCTTGACCGAGTTTTGTGCCACGATCTAGGCTGTAACTGCTTGATTCCTTCAATATTTGGTTGTACATTTTAGTTTGTGAAATGTGGATTTGCAGGATCCAACTTTCCTGAACATATATTCCCGTCGTTGGTTGGACGGCCTATCATTCGTTCGACGGCAAAAGTCGGCGATATAGAAGTGAAGGTATTAATGTTTTTAATCACGGGTTAATTCATGTACTTTTAGCTCTTGTTAAAATAATTTAAACGAGTAATTGCATAACTTCTGCCTTAGTCTGGGTTAATATGAATGCACTTCCTGTTACAGGACTTGATGGTCGGAGACGAAGCCAGCCAGCTAAGGCATATGTTAGAATGCAATTACCCCATGGATAACGGAATTGTAAGAAGCTGGGATGATATGAAACACATTTGGGATTACACATTTGGGCCTACAAAATTAAATCTTGATACAAAAAATTGCAAGGTATATTATTATAAATATTTCATTATTGTCCAAGTTTCTATTATGTACTTGTCAGAATTGTTAAATTTCCTGTGGTTTATTGACAGGTTTTACTAACTGAACCACCCATGAACCCGATGAAAAACAGGGAAAAAATGATTGAGGTTTGTCTCGAAATAAATCAACATATGTAAAATGAAATTGTTGTTTGTTTTTGTGTAAAATCCAACACAATATTTAATTTCTTTGTGGTTCTTATTAAAAGGTTATGTTTGAAACTTATGAGATGGCTGGTGTTTACATTGCTATACAAGCTGTTCTAACATTGTACGCTCAAGGTATTGTACATAGACAGATTTTGCTCGGGGGGAGGGTTGCCAAATATTCAGGGGGAGTGAGCAAGAGGCTGTGTAGTGCCATCGAGCAAAGCCCCCAGGACATTCTTGGTCTTATTTCAAAGTCCTTGTTTCAATCATACTACTGTTGTTTAATCCAACAAGCATTTAAATTTAAATACCTGTGGTTCCGGTTTCATATTGTGAAAAAATTAGGGTCGGTAGGTCGGAAATAAATTTTTTTTTGAATATTTTTTTCATGGTTTTGGCGTTTTTTTGTTGGGCGATTTGCAGTAGAATCCTGACATCAATAGTGTTGCAACAGACGCCATTTTGGCATGCTATATGAGCGGCCCGCAACCACCTGGAGAAAATAGGGTCGCACAGTCAATCGCGTTGAAAAAGTAATAGGGTCAGCAGAAAAAAGGTATTTCTTTTACGCCTTATATAAAAAACCCACATACAGTTATGATTGAAGGATTGGACAACAGAACTAGAATCCCATACTAAGTTCATCCAACTAAAACACAACATATTACGGGCTACAAACTGGATAACATAATACTGATTTGACAGGCCTAATTTACACAATATAAACATGCAAGAATAAATACCACACTACTGTGAAATTATTTGTGAGGTTCAGATTTGATCACCACCACTAGTTGGAAATCACTAACCACTCACATGCAAACCAGGTCAGGGTTTGTGAGGGTATGCACCCCCCCCCCTCAAATATTATATATATCAAATCCCCATTAGTTTACAGTAGTGTGAGGACTTTAATCAACTCCACAGAGCCACCTGAAGCATTTACAAAAAAGAATGAAAGAAATGCTCAATTTTAATTCCATCAGCTCCGACTATGGGTCCTTGACAGCTTATAGTGGACCATTCTAACAGAATTCTTTGTTTTACTTATTCCAGGTTTATTGACTGGAGTGGTTATTGACTCTGGTGATGGTGTCACTCACATTTGTCCAGTTTACGAAGGCTTTGCATTACCACATTTAACGAGAAGACTCGATATTGCCGGCCGTGATATCACCAAGTACTTGATTAAAGTAAGGCCTTACATTAAATGAGGTGACATAGTAACCAAGGTTAATATCATAGGAACCACGCGCAGTCTGGGTACGACATGTGTCCTTAGGTTATCGGATATAGAGAGTGCCAAGCAGACTCACACGTCATTAGCTAACTCATAGCCAACTGCAATATTAATAAGAATAATATTATAATATGTTGATAATGTAATATTAATTACACTAATTAAAATACAGTTCTCATCTTGCATTCCTTCAAAATTAATAACAAATCCAATGAAAAATACATATCTATACAATTATATTTTATTTTGTAGCTGTTATTGTTGAGAGGATATGCATTCAACCACACGGCTGACTTCGAAACTGTTCGTATGATGAAGGAAAAATTATGTTATGTCGGGTAAGATTGCAATTGTTTTAAACTCCTGTAAGTTAAGACAAGCAAATGTTCTTGCAAGACTGTGTACTTAGACCCACATGTAATTTTGATAATGAAACTTTTTTTATTTCCACAATTTAGTTACAACATTGAACAAGAACAGAAGCTTTCAACTGAAACAACAGTGCTTGTTGAGCAATACACGGTTAGTATTTTTAAATACATTAATTTTACACCATATTTACATTATATCATCAGGGCTTGAAATAACAGCTGATCGCTGATCAATGATTGGCAAGAAATTGCTTATGAGGCAATATGTGGGTTTCCCGACCCTACCTAGCTTTTGGATGCCAAAATCCCGATGCCGAAATCCCTAAACTTTATTATTGTTTCATGCTTGTAAGTGTTTCCACTGAGAGGAAAATGTTTGTGGAAAATGGATATTTGAGGCAATATTAGGAAATTTATTTTTGGATGTGGAAGCACTGACTAAACAAAATGGCATCTGGTTGTTAGGAAAAAACCGACCTACCCTACCTAAGTTTTTACAAGAAGAAATAGGAAACCCACATATATTTTTTTTGGCCTGATTGGTGGAAAAGCAGAGTTCCAACCTGAAAAAGCAGGGAAAGTCATGACTCTGCTGATCACCATGATCAGGAACTTTGGGAATTTTATTTCAAGCCTTGTACCATAGGCAGATCTATGGGTATAGTGTTGGACTGCACACCCCCTCCTATATCTGTTGCCCCCCAAAGCACAATTTGACATTGGTCAATGATTACCAAGTTTTCCATGGGTTCTGAAACTTTTCATTAGTAGGTGCAGTAACTGAGGGTGTACTCCCCTGCATTCTCCCCCTCCTCACACACAAATAGTAAACACTGATCAATGATGACCAAAATTTCCATCATGTTTTGACTTTGGTTGCAGCCAGCCACATTGACTATCCAAAGGTGTATCCCCCTAATATAGCTTGCGCCTCCCTCCTGTACCACAAAAGGACTAATACTGGACAAAAAGTCAATGTTAAATGTAACTTTTGATAGTAGCTTCAGTTGCTAGGCAATGGTGCAAACCCACCCTTGCAGAAAATCATCACTCCCCCTCCCACATAAGGCAGCAGTAACATTGACCACATTGGTCAAGAAGTCTCTATGCTTTATTAACTTTTGATAACAGGTTTAATGGTTAGGAAGAATGGACTATCTCCTCAACAATTTTTACTTTCTCTGCCAGTTAGGTCTGGTGCACACAATGTGATTATAGTCAGCTGGTTTTATTTGAACAAGATAAAATTGTTTTGATATTGTCCAATTTTTTACTGGCCGACCAAAATTGCCATAAATGACACCGCACATGCAAGGATTTTATTAATTTTAATCGGCCGACTAAAATTGCATTGTGTGCAACAGGCATGGAGTCGAGCTGGCTAAGTCCTCTCCAAGACTCCTGGTTATTTGACAATTTCTGGTCTAAGATTTTGGTTAAAACTGTCTTTTCAGTTACCAGATGGTCGGGTAGTGAAAGTGAGTGGTGAAAGATTCGAAGCGCCTGAAGCTCTCTTCCAACCACATCTTATCAATGTAGAAGGTGTAGGCATGGCAGAGTTGCTGTTCAACACAATCCAGGCGGCTGATATTGATACGAGAATGGATTTCTACAAACACATTGTCCTGTCGGGAGGTTCGACCATGTACCCTGGATTGCCAAGTAGATTAGAACGTGAAATAAAACAACTGTACTTGGAACGAGTATTGAAGGGAGATGGATCCAAATTAGCTGTAAGTATTGGACAATGTTGTCCAATTTACATTCTCTATTTTTGATAACCAGCGCTGGATGACATGAAGAAAAGTGGCATTTGCAGATTGAAGCATTCCGATCACTGGATCATGACTGGATGACATGGAGAACAGTGAGATTTTCAAAACAATGAAAAGACAATGAATGGAACATTCCGATCACTGGATCATGACTGGATGGCATGGAGAACAGTGGGATTTTAAAAACAATGAAAAGACAATGGGACATTCCGATCACTAGGACGAGACTGGATGACATGGAGAACAATGAGATGATGCGAATAGGAGATTAGGAAGAAGAAAATATAGGAGAAGTAAACCATACAGGGCAACTTGATACAATTAATCTTTTCTTTTTCAGAAATTCAAGATCCGTATTGAAGATCCTCCCCGACGAAAGCACATGGTGTTCCTTGGCGGTGCCGTGCTTGCCGACATTATGAAGGACAAGGATAACTTCTGGATAACGAAACAAGAATACCAGGAGAAGGGCACGAAATGCTTGGAGAAACTAGGAGTCAGTGTCTAGAATAGTTCAGAAACAAAGACAAATTCATGAAAGATATTTGCATGGGTGTAATAAACCCTAAATTTTTCTACTCGTATAAATGATTCAGGCTAATAAGTTACGGCTATTCTTATTCGAAATAATCACTACACAATAATTTCACCGAGATGGTTAAAACCATTTTCTTTATAAAGTTTAAGTGTTGTAGAAATATTCTATAAAAGAATTTGAATTGGTGTACTGCTTAGTTCAATCACGTTAAGAGTTTAGTACCTGGAAGACTTGAACATGTACTTTTAAATTTTCATAAGTTGGAAAATGCGTGTGGTACATTTCTTCTTTGTACTTGTGTGTAGACTGTAATTTTATGATCACATTTTTCCCAAAACCTCTTTGCAATTTCGATACAAAGAACATTTTTCATAAAAAAGCTTGCAAAAGTCTCCGCGTACAAGATACTTTGAGTTGAAGATGACAGCGTGCTTTGAACCAGGTTTGCACACGAAGTACTTCTGCATAATTCGGCCTGAAACGTTCTTTAAATTGTATTGTAGTTCACGACGCCTGCTCTGGAATGTTCCATTTATTAAGGCCCATTTCCACTCGGGAAAATTTTCCGCGGAAAGAAAATTTTGCAAATTTTGATTGGCCGACACAAATTTTCCGTTGGAAAAAAATTTAAGTTGAAAATTTCCAACTTTTAACAATGATATTTTCGGAAATTTTTCTGTCCGTGAAAATTTTTCTTGAGTGGAAATAGGCCTTTACGCTGCATTCTGTAAACTTGTTTCGTGCAGTTATTCATGAGAATCTAATATGTAAATTGAATTTTATAAAGAATTTTGAATAAATTTCGTGTTTGTTCTATAGTTTCGTGTTCTATAGTTGGAGATATTATCTCTGGACCTATCCCACTGACCTCGTCCCCAGGCCCACGCTAAGCAGCGTAGCTAGCGCGACTTGGGGGGACGTGGACGCTCTCATTCTCGGTCCCAGGGCTTCACGGCTGACACTGCAACGCAGAGTCAGCCGTGAGGCCCTGGGACCGAGGATGGGACGCTCTAGACCTTCGGCGCTTTGACTCGAGCCATTTAAACTTGTCACCTTCGCAGACGTACTCCCTGAACGGTATGTCTTGTTCGTGAATTCCTAACTTACGCTGAGGCATCTGAATCTAGGGGATGATTCACTTCTGATGCATAGACTTGAGTAGCAGAGTTGTATTGAATGGTATTCTGAGCCTTGGAGTTCAATGATGTACCCTCATCAGTCATGTGAACTCATCCACTCGTTTACATGCATCCATCTGCCTCGTACCCAGGCGGCTCTTTGTAAAAAAAACAGTGATGCCCATATGACGTGTTTACATGAAGTATTGTAGTGGGGGGAGATGGCGAAGGGGCTGATGGGAAGAGTGCACTTGAACTAGAAAATCGCACCTGAAATTGCAAGTGTAAACGTACGAGGCTTAATGAACCCCATCTCGTACCCCAAAAGATCAGAAACTCATACCGAAGAGATTACAGTAAAAAAACAATGACATCATACTAGGCTCCAGGGGCATCTTAGTTATAGACTCATGGTGCAAACGGAGCAGTGCATAGCGACATGAGGGACTGCGTTTATTTCAATCTTCCCATCACTCCTTGCGCGCTCATTTCACTCTGCGAAACTTCATGTAAGTTATTTATAAAGATTGGCTCTGCGGGAGGCGTGAGCCTGTACCACAATGCTTTGCAGTCCGATAATGGTGAACTCAGTTTTGTCTGAATTAGAAGCACTCTTGTCTACCAATACAATTGTCGAAATGTTTTCAGTTAGGAATTTTTTAAGACAGGAATATGAATTCATCCTCTTCCACCCTCCCCCTCTGATTTTACAGAATGTTATTTGACTTTTTAGCCTATAAAGCCACAGAGGAAGACTATATTGTGTACCTGTGGTTCCATCGCAGCCTATAGTTGTGTAAAGCTACGTTTACACACAACGATTAATCGGGCCGATTTCAGGTCTTGCCGAATTTATTGACACAGAATAGATACAGAACCAGAAGTGTCACTCGGACGATATTTTGTCCGAAATTTTACGAGTGCTAACGTGAAAATACGCCATCATATGACGCCATCCTGGAGTGCACACGGAAGTTTTTCATAGGAAAACATAGGTACAAAGTGCCGTGTGCACTCCAGGATGGCGTCATAGCACGTACAAAAATTTCGGACGTTTTCCTTCAGCCAAAACACATAGGAGTGTCCCTTCTGGTCCGGTATCTATTGTGTGTTATCGACGAATGTTGTCAGTTGACGATGTCGTCAGACAGCCTGCGTCAGATGACGTTGACAGCGTATTTTTCAAAGGCCCGATTAATCATTGTGTCACAAGAATAAGAAGCTACAGCAGAAGTGTAACTCGAGTCGGTTCCCTTATTGTTTTACGTCCACGAAAATTTTAACTCGCTCACGCCATCCTGGCTAGTACAACCGGAAGTTTTTATCAGGTTTTGCTAGGTACAAAGTGCCGGTTGTACTAGCCAGGATGGCGTGATTGATGACGAGTCGCTTGTAAAAAAGCGGACAAATACTTGCTTGAGTTACGCTTCTGCTATACCTTCTTATTCTGTGATTGTGTGTAAATTACGTACCTCTAACATTCCACTGACGTCTGTGAAAGAGGCTAACCACAGCATTATCAAAAGTGATTTTGTATTGTTGTTTACAAATATTCGCGTGTGAATTTCCGACAATTTGAATTCAAACTGCCCAAGCCTTGACATGAAACTAAACAACCGGAAAAAACAGGGCCAAACAGGTTCATTGGTTAAAACCAATATCAGTAATCATTTCTACACTTAAAAAATTTCTCGCCCTCCTCCGTCAGAAACCGTGGGAAATTCACTGGGAATATAAATTATATAATCAAAGGCCATGTAAAAAAATATTCAGGTTTACCATCAATGTTGTTTTTTTTTTAATAAATAAAAAATATTGTTTCAGCAGTCTGATCGAAAGGTAGTAAACGGAAGAATAAAATAAAAGTTACTGGCGTGATTTGAACATTTTCTTTCGTACATCTATCAATGTGAAGATGTGATTCGGTAAAAAAATCCACCAGCACGTATTTTTTTCTGCTACAGTAACAAACCTTTTTACATGGCCCAAGCGTAGGTTAATCTCTAGCAGCCCAGCAACATTGATAAAGGCTGTTACAGGCTGCCGTACGATCTTGCTTGGTCCAAAAGGCAAAACTACGGATCGGATTAGCTTATCTAGGGCGAAGCACCTAACCTGCGAACGGGGATACTCTGGGTTAGCACTAACTCACCTTTGAACAACCTGCCCTGTAATGTAAGCTGGGCTCATGCGGTTGCCCCCCACGCTTGAGACTTGAAGCAAGTCTGGATAATTCGAAGTTTAATGATAATAGACAATTCCCATTATAGACTATTTTTTTATCTTGGCACATTTGGGCCTAACAATTTGGGCCGAAAATAGTAGCAATTTCCGCACGCAATAAAAAAGTATACACAATTTGTAAACTCTGCAAAGCTATATATTTTCCGCATTTTACAACATTTCGCAACCAAACTTTGCAATTTTACTCATTTTAGCATGCTCTTTCTAGCTGTGGTGATTTATTTGCATCTCCTTGACCTTGCCTAGTTTTAAAATTAGTCTATAATGGGAATTGTCTATTCATGCGAGTGGTTCATTTAAAACTGGAATATTATGCACTGCAGCGTAATGCTGGAACTAATATACTTGAACCACTCACACATTGGTTTTGTGGCCAAAATAGTTAGGGTGTGTCGGAACTCGGAATCTTCTACTGACTTTGATTACAACAATTAAAACTGACATAACGGAAAATTTCCCCTTTTATGAATGCATTAATAGTCTATAAGCTAGGTAGCAAGGTCAGCAGGGTGTTGACCGGTACCGGATGTACCTCATTATCTGCCGTATGAAGTCTTTGAGATGAAATATCCTTATTTGGAATCAACTCATTTCTTTTTCAATATTTGCAATATTCACACCTATAGTGGACTAAATATCCATCTTTGAGAGGTTAACAATAATATACACTAAAAAAAAAGTGAAATTCATATTCGTTCTTTGTTGTTTTACGTCCACGAAAATTTTAACTCGCTCACGCCAACCCACGCCATCCTGGCTAGTACAGCCGGAAGTTTTTATCAGGTTTTGGTAGGTACAAAGTGCCGGTTGTACTAGCCAGGATGGCGTGATTGATGAGGAATCGCTTGTAAAAACGCAGACAAATATTTGCTTGAGTGAGACTTCTGCCATACCTTCCTATTCTGTGGTTAGGATTTGGAAAAAACATTTGCAGTGATAATGTGTAAACGTAGATCGAGAGCCTACTCGCAACCCAATTGACACCAGATATAAACGTTATCGTTACCGTTTCCCTGCGAGAACTGTAGAAGATTCAACGACCTGAAAAATACAAAAAGAACTACGATGTTTTAAGCGGAAGCCCTTTTAATTTTCCTCAATGTTTAAGACCCTGGCCCTTATCTACCGTGATGTTTGCAGCCGAAACCAACTGCTCAAAATCGCCACAAGCCATTAAAACGATCGATGTTGTTGCTAAGCACGACTAAGGCTCGACTAAACCATGTCATCTTTTAAAAGTACAAAAAGCTATATACAACCCTTAATTACTGGTCTCCCCGTCTCTAAAAATAGTCTCTGTACTATAATTTCATGTACTATTTACAGTAAAATTTCCTGTGCGATACGTTACGCAACTTACGCTAATTATACGAAACGCGCGAGCATCCGTGGCGCGCAAAATATTCAAGCAATGAAAATCTTTAAAAATTAAAATACTTCGAAATTCTACAGTTCCAATGGGAATAGGAAACACATGTTGAACATGCAGCTCTTGTAAATGTGAGGTCAAATTGTCCAAGGGTTATGTATTCTTGTTAGCAAACTGAAACTATGTAAATGACGCTCGGTTGGATAACAACTTGTGGAGACATGCCCAACGCTGTTGGATAACAACTTCGCTTCCCGAGAAGGAAATTCTGTTTCCGCATTTAATGTTCTGGAAAGTGAAATGGGGAAATATTTAGAGAATACATCAAGATTTTCGGAAAATACTTAAAAGTATGGGGGTTTAAGAGTTCAGAAATTACCATCGCCATAAGATAATGGGGAAGACTAGTCCTTGTGGAGACATGCCCAACGCTGTTGGATAACAACTTCGCTTCCCGAAAAGCGGAAATTGTGTTTCCGCATTTAATGTTCTGGAAAGTGAAACGGGGAAATATTTAGAGAACACATCAAGATGTTCGGATGTTTCCGCGACAATGTTTCCTAGTTTGGCCAAGTATTATTTATACATGCATGTGGTTTTAAATTAAAGAAAGATTTCTAATAGATACAGCATAATTATTCAGTATAAGATTTCTAATAGATACAGTATAAATATTCCAATTCCATTCAAAGACATATCAGTGAAGAAAACGTGAAAAATTAGTCCATTAGTGGGTTTTAGTGTTCCATTTTGGAAGAAATCTGCTGTATATGGGCATTTAAAAGTGGAGATGCTAGGTTTATCATCAGTGAAGTCTTATTCGTACTAAAATAGCATCGTATTTTCTAACATTTCTGTCAACTCGAGGAGTAAAAACGGGGTGACATTTTTACTTAATGAGTTAACACTCTATACAACCCCAAATTTTTGCTACCCTTATGCTATTTCTATGTAGAAGTCTTGTATTTGCAAACCAAATTTCTCCTCTACGTTTCAACAACTTTGAAGTTGACCATCATTTTGTTCCCGGCTTATAGACTAAAATCCCGAGGATTAATTGTGCGTGCCGTTTTTTCTTGCGACACATCAAAGAACTCAACACTGCCAATCGTTGCACAAATATTGTACTTAATTCTACACATGCATGACAGACGATTAAAATACCACGTTCGTATCTTTGTTTAAATCTATACTAAAGAGATTTCCTAACAAGAATCATGCGGCGTAAAACGCGTGCTGTTAAGCCGTCACACGCGTGCGTGTTTGATAAAAATGTGATGGCAAGAAGAACATCGTGCATGCTTTCAGTGCATGGACACCAGAGCTGTGAGGAACGGAGACCGTCCATAGCATTTTACCAGGCTTTGTTATAGGTTTAAAATTTAATTACTATGCATGGACGTACAGAACGAACGTGTGCAGTAGGAATAAGTGCATGTTGGACTGATATACAATTACAAGAAGCATTCGTCGGGGTCTTCGCTCGACTAATGTCGAAGTTCTCCTTGTATTTTTCAGGCAGTTGGATCTTATCAATCGGAAGCTTTCTTATTATTGCCACTGCCTACACTGCCACAGATCGTTCAAGATTCTATCATGTTGGAAAGAGAATGTCATGATCTTGTTTTTCTTCCAATTTGTGGCATAAATGCATGCATGTACCTTTTGGCAGCGTAATACAAAAACAAACCAGTCGACGAGTAATATGACATTGATAAAAGCTAAGCCATATAATGACTTCGCATTCTCCATCTGTTGTCTGAACCTTTTTTGGCAATTGGTTCACTTACCGAGTCAAGGCAAACTATTTGACTGCAAGGTGAGACTTTCTGGAAAATATTCTAAATTAGGAGAGTAATGATGTCTCGCCTCAATAAATGAGAATGCAATGATGTCTCGTCTCAATCAATGAGAATGCGTATCAAAAGGCGTTTGGGACGTTAAAGGCGACTCACTCGTCCAGTCGGAAAGCAGGCTAGATCGAGTGAGCTAGATTATTCTTAGAAATTTTATTCTGTGGCATTACTCGCCGAATTGTATTTATTAACTATAAACGAGTGCATCTGATAGACTAAAGATGCTTATACTTGTCCATATCAGGCAACTTGTACAGTTACATACACAGCCCAATTTTGCTCTCAAAAAGAACACTATATAAGGTCGTGAAAGTTTCATGTTTCCGGCTAGATTCAAAAATAAAGGTTGCCGGTTTATTTATTTATTTATTAAACTTTGGCCATTTACGATTATAAACAGTTTAAGGAAATGGCTCAGCTTCAGGAACACTTTGTTGGAAATCCAAAACATCAAAACATAAGCCGGATCAAACAAGGTCGAGAGCGCATGAGAAGAGTTGACAGTTACGCGACAGCTTGTCCTTGGTTAGCTGTTCTTAATGCTTTCCCAACACTATCATGTATTTTATTTACGTTGAAACATAGTTGGAACACTTATCAAACTTTTATTTTGTTAATATAGAGCTTGAAATGTTCCCTGTGAATGTTTGACCGGGGCTTTAGAGTTTAGTATGAAAGTGAAACAAGATTGCAAACTATAGCAAGGGGGGGTGCCAATTAGGTTGAACATAATAGCCCATTTAGTCTATTTTCCATTTTTCGGTAAGAGCTATAGAGAATTACAAGTCCCACGTCCATTGTTTTAAATTAAAAGAACATCTTTGATGCAGCTAAAGGCATTCAAAGCTAAAGATAGGGAATTGTCATCTAGCTAACCCTTTTAACCTGAGCGTGGCTACTCATTTTCTGCGACCGAAATAACTGTTTAATTAAGCATAGCCATAGATAATTGTTACCGAATAGCAACAATTTTTAAACAAACATGCAACATTGACAATGTCAATGAAATTGAAAAGCAGTTTTCAGTCGAGTTATGAAAAGAACTTTTCCTCGTTGAAATTGCAATTGAACTGGCTCAGGAAAGGCCAAATTCGAGCGAAATGAACGTCAAAACTAGACCTCATGAAATAACAGCTGGCGGTTAATGGAAAAAAGCTAATTATCTAATTATAGGTAAATATAGTAACTAAATTATATGATGTTAAAACCAGTTGAATATAACCATTTCTTTAAAAGCCAATTTCCTTTTAAGAAAAAAATTAAAAAGATTTTGATCTTTAAATTGTCATGTTATGATATCGATGTGCCTTTGGGCAATCCATTAGTGCAGACCGACGACGCGAGAAACTGCAATTATCCTTTTAAAATATATCTGTATAATATCGAAAGAGACGCATCTTTAAGAAGGGAACAATAGCACCTCGTGAAAAAGCATGGAATATCGGTTTAACAAGCACTTGAGTGTCATAGCATGTGCGTGACTAACTTGCTGGTGATATTAAGCGTCTTTCATTTTGTATAGAAATGATACTTGGTGTGGGCTGCTGTGTGTGGCTCATGTGAACTTGACTCATAAGTGTTGTTTTATATACAACATAACAATATCAAGTATTCCATTAGAACGTTCTTTGTAGTTTCTAAGAATGCATTACTGGTGCTCGATGTTGCGTTACATTTGAGGAGCACGCAATCAATGCTCTCGCTGCATTGTGGGATACTAGAAGACGAGACTTACTCCCTACAGACAACATTTACTTGATATAGCTCTATTTTGCTAGACATATATGCAGTGAATGATATTCTTGATCCATGCAGAATTAACTACAGAAGAAAATCGCGTCTGATTAAGCGAAACTAATCCTGTAATAGTATAATAACATAAACGTATGCATAATGCCCAATGCGGTGTTGTCTTACATAACAGTCATAAGCACGTTTTAAACAATTTTAGCAGTAATGGTCAGGATCCTAATTAATATTGCTGATGCAGAAATTGAACCAGTTTTCATAACATCGAAATGTTCATGCATGTGATAAAACATCACTGCTTATAAACACTGCCTCCCATGGTTCCATTCGTTATAGAGTTCGTTAATTAGGCTGATTAGAAGGTGAGGAACTAATTAGAAGGTAAAGAGCCAACTAGAGAATTAGTTAATAAATATGAATTGTTCACTTATTTAGGTAGTTAGTTGATTAGTTAAGTTCGTTAGTTCTTAATTGATGATTTGATTAGTTTATGAAAATGGTAATTAGAAAGAATGTTAATTACCAAGCCATGCACTTTCATTTCATTGGTTAATTCAGTTGGGTAGTTAATTAGTTAGTTAGTTACTTACTTAGTTGGTTGGTTAGTTAATTAGTTAGTTAATTAGTTAGTTAATTAGTTAATTAGTGAGATCGTCATTTCTATACCTCCGGATATACGTAAATTGAAATGCTTATTCAAAAGTATAGTCATACATTTTAACCCTCGCATAAACAAACCTGAAACACATAGAAGATAATTCTTTGTCTACCACAGACAAAGACATTAATAACATGCAATCTTTGCGACCACAACACTACACCATCAAACCTCGTGTTTAGAGAAGAACATACCATGTTCTTAATAATTTAACTGTTGTATTAAAAGTATGTTTTTTGTCCATTGCTTCATAACAAAACAAAAACAACAAACTGTAAATGACCATCAGTATAGTTTGTCAAAACATTACAATTAGCCGCTTGAGTTCATTGCAGATAATGGTGTTACGTGTTGGTCTAATGCACTGTTTTTCACGATACCGGCTGTCAACACAAGACATCTTTATGGCTAAAATCTAACTTTGGCCGGTATAATTAACCTTCTCTTGCCCTTGTCCCGTCTTAAAATAAAAGAATAATGCCAAACACTCTAATAAATTTTCGAACATTCCTTAATGTGAAATAACATCGCTTAAATTATCAAAATATTTCAGTTGAGTTAATCAATTTATAGCAATTTTCACAAGTGATGTTGCGAAACCCACACTATTATAGAACATATCCATACACAGAACATAACGTATGTTATGTATCTCAGGGTAAGTCGAAACTCGATAGCCTATATACACGGACTTAGAGTCACTGCCAACACTTCCTTGTTATGTCTTATGAGACATTGAACGATCGGTCTCCAAAACAGTGTGTTGATCAATGCTTGAGACACACAAAAGAAAATATTTTAATTTTCTAAATATCGCTGCTTTCTATGAGATAATAACTCAATTCCGCAACATTGCCAGAATACCAGAAAACCAAAATTATCTGGCACTAAATCAAAGACCACGTTAACGTTGAGGGAATGTCCTTATATTCTCAACAAAATCGAGTCCAGAACAAACTAACCGCAGATTTGCAGTATAATGTTGCCTTTTCTCCACAAGGCAAACGGTTGAATATGTTTTTTAAGGATAACTAAACTATATCCATTAACCCCAACTTCCTCCAGGCGATTGACCACTGGAAGTCTATTTTTAGGAAAAGCACTCGAGATTATGCAAGCGTACAAAGAGCCATAGACAATATGAATGGAATGTAACGGAACGCGACTAAATAGCATTGCTCGTTACTAAGTATAGCACATTGCTTTTAAACTTAGAAAATATCGAGTAACTGGTCAGTTGCAGCTATTAAAATGCGTGGGTTGTTCGCAAGTTTATCTCAGAGAAGAATGCGTTAGAATTGTTGCTTTGAACCTCATCTATTTCGTGAGTGTTGAGTTGAATTCAGTGTTAGTACGGATGTGAGTGAAGAAAGATTATAAAGCCTCGATTGTCACGGAGTTGTTGTAACTGATTAGAGTACAATATAAAGCTTCTACTATAAACCCAACAGAACAATTGTTGAAGAGCTCCCCACTGTTGGTCAGTTATGATGTTTAAAGGAAGCAATGCTCGCAGACCAGAACTAAGGTTTCCAACCACGATGTACAATTCTTCTCAAATGTACAATTGTCATTCACACAGCGCGACCACGTACACCAAGGATACGCGAGAAATCAAAACGGCCGTTGTACGGAAGAGTGAAACTCGTAGCAGACACAAAGACAGCGGCCCTACTGTTTCACCAAAATGCGCTCGTTGTAAAAACCATGGCGTCATTTGTCCATTGAAGGGCCACAAAGGTCTGTGCAAGTGGAAAGACTGCATTTGCAAGAATTGCTCATTGATTGTACAGCGTCAACGCATCATGGCGGCCGAGCAAAGCGTCCTTAAAGAGATGGCCGACCACAAACGTGAGAGCAGTTTAGAGGCTTCAACATCAAGCTTCGTCTCTCATGGTAAGTTAAAAACTATGTAAGTCATATGGTCTATATAGAAATATAGCCTAGTAGTATAAGTAGTAAACTTAGTATTGAATTCTGATTAGCGTTGCATATATACAAATTCTGATCCGATGTTTTGAGTTGAGTCAACAAACTTTAAGAGATCAGTGAATATTGAAGTAACGGCTATACCGCATTTATTAGAATCTGATAACAAGCGAGAACGTAAAAAGAAACCTATTTCGAAGAGTATACGGGCCATAAGTGCAGATAATATTCTTCAACAACTATATCTTGAAAAAACTGAAGAGATATACTTGGATAGCGAAGGTACTTCATCAGACGTTTCCGGCTATAACGTCCTGGCCCTCGGAGAGTTCGTAATCTTTTCTATACTTTAAAGCAGTTTAGATATCAGCTACAGCAACTGCTGGTATTGTCGACACTGCCTGGAACTGTTCTTTTTCCTATAATCTATATACAAAGCAGTTCAGATGTTAGCTACAACGACTGCTGGTATTGTCAACACTGCCTGGAACTGTTCTTTTTCCTATTTACAAAGCAGTTCAGATATTAGCTACAACGACTGCTGGCATTGTCAACACTGCCTGGAACTTTTCTTTTTCCTATTTACAAAGCAGTTCAGATATTAGCTACAACGACTGCTGGCATTGTCCACTGCCACTGGCTGGAAATTGTTCTTATAATCTCTTCTACATTAAAGCAGTTCAGATATTAGCTACAACGACTGTTGGCATTGTCCACACTGGCTGCAAAGTTCTTAATCTTTTCTACTTTAAGCAGTTCAGATGGCATCTTGCATGAAACTATAGTATAGGCTACATATATATATACGAGACAAACAAGATGAAAGATCGAAACTGCCTGTCTCTGCAGTTTAAGAGATGTTTCATACAAGAAGATTTCTTCAGTATGCTATACCTTCCATTCATATAAACTTGAATTTGTACTGCCCTAGCTATATAGTCAGTATGGGATCTTTGGCCTTTGCGTTATAATTTTGGAAGTTGTCAACCGTGATCGTGTGCATGTTTACATCACAACGTTTATAGATTTTGAATTTTGTTGATATGTTGGAAAGCTTTAAAGAATATATGAAAAACGCTTCAAAGTTTCAAGCGAAAGCCTTCGTCAAGAAAGTTAGACATGACTTATCTCTACAGCAACGATGCAACGGCTGCATTCATGAAAGAGCTTTGGGCTTACATGCACCAAATCTGTTTCTCTTTATATAATATATGTTACTCAGTACCTTATTCCTTTAAACTCACTCAAATTTTTAAATTTTGGGAGATTTCTCAGTATTCTCACTATAGCAAAACGTAAAGGAGACTGAATTCCTTAAACATGATGGCAACTTAAATCATGATGCAGTTTAAATCAGAAGATATCATCTAAACACTACGACGTTGTCTACTATACGTACCCCATATATACGTAGTGTGGTTTTCTTTAACAACGTAAAAGAATTTGTAAAATATTGTGCCAACAAAAAAGAAAGACCGTTCAGGTATACACATATGTTTTCTTTTAGTCTAAAATACAAAAGTCTTATAGCCTTTTCTCCCAAAGGCATGAGAGAGACCTACAAGTTCTTGTCAAATTTTCCTGGCTCCGTGACCAAGTGATAAATGATTAAGTATGGAATAGCTCACGACAAGTGCAAGTGAAATATAATTGCTTTATATCCTCAGGGTACATATATATATACTGTTGAAAATTTCGTACAAATTACAGCAAAATCATTTCCATATACCAAATGGTATTAAGAATACCCGGTCATATATTCAAGAAACTACAATTAAAAGCAAAACATATCCATAGAATGTTAGTTTCACTGAAGTTGTTGACAAACTCTTTTGCCTTTTTTGAAATTTTGGAATGCGTGACCATTAAAGAGACCTTTATAATGGCGCGTTATGATAATTTTATAGTTAGTATATATAATTGCTTGTTTTTTTCCTATTTCGATGACGACGTGAATGTTTTTGAAATGTTGCATAAAGCATTTTTATAGACTATAAAAATGAATGTGCCGGATATCTCACTATATTCAAAGTAACAACTGAAACGCTTCTGCACTTTTGATATACATGCACGCTGTTCTATACAGAATGACCCACATTTATTAATCTTTAATAATCACAATCTTTATGATAGTTCTCTTTGTTATAAATGTAATGTATATAGAATTATAGAGTATAGGTTTCTCAAAATAATATACATTTTCACAAAATTATATATATACTGATAATGATATATATATCTGGACTCTATACTTGAATCTCCACGCCTATTTTTTCTGTAGTGTAGGGAATTCGAATGCATCTCTCAAAACTACCCGCCCTCATGGCCATAAATAATGCTAGAATATATAGATGCTATAGATTTTATATATATATAATATCCATCCATTTTTTTATTACGCCTTGCATTGAATTTTTTAAATAGCATGAATTAGAAGTCTTAAATATATATATTGATTCTAGCGCCTTATCAATTGTGTCCATCATATATCATCTGCATGTTCACTGCAAATTTTAAGGAATTGACTCAACGGCTCCAAAAATGTTATCAGTTCAAAAATGTTATCAGTTCTAAAATGGCGACAGAAAAACACTTTTGGATTTGATTACAAAGAATCACAGTTAAAACCAACTATTTCAATCAGCGATTGAATTATATAATGACATATTCATAGAACAAAACAGAATCCTAGATTTATGTCTTCATACGCTCTTGAGAAATTCCGTTTCTTTATCGTATACTTTCTCGCGTGCCCTTTGGCTACAGTATATTGTACAGAAAGCGATGTTGTGAGAAAAGGGCGGTCCTCGCTCCATGGATGCAAATAAAAAGAGAAAGAGCATGGCTATGAAGTGTTTTCTATATATACAGGTTCACAAAGTAAAATATCTAGCTAGTAGCTATTAAAACTCGTAACTTTCGCAATATATGTTGACTATATGATGGAGATCTTGAGCTATTCTATTCTATTAGAGTATAACGTGTATCAATAGTTTAGCCTCTTAAAGGGATAAAAAAGTGTATTAAATTTTGGTTCAGCTAAACAAAAGTTTTATAAATATATTTATATTGCATGTTACACACTGATACAGATTCCTACAACAATCCTTAAACATAACCATGATTCATCTCGGCTCGAGAAAGATAAGCATGCAGTTCTGATCCACGTCTCTTGGATTTAAATATTTAATCTGCCAAAGAGAGCTGCATAACGATAAAGATCTTAAATATATCATGGTCCTGTTGGTTATCATGATATTCCCGTTGACAATATTGGCAGTTTTACAACAGAATTATCCAGCAGTACAACAGAATTATACATAACAACATCCTCCCACCTACCCACAAATTATTAATAGCATTTGTATTTCAAACGCATCCGCCAAAACACAAAAGACCTTAGTTTTTAACACTGCTTAGATCGCCAAGTTCAGAAACTACCGGAGTTTAATTAACCATGCATGCGGTGTCTCTACTGCATTTACTTCAAGTTCATCTTAACTCGGAAATTGAATCGTGTATATGCATCGTTCTCATTATAATCAATGAAATTAAATCAGTATATGGATTTGAAAATATTAGATGGTATTTTTACTCAAAATACTAAGGTTTAAGTACATTGTTGTGTTTTAGGATTAGCTCAAGAGTTAAGTTGCTATATATTATATTCTTCGCTTTTTTCATTGATTTGTTACTTGTCATTCAAGATCAGACATGCATTGCCATTGGGGTTTTGGTACATGACACAGTCAGAGCGTATAGTCATTATAGATACTGGGTTCGATTCTCGCTTTGAACACTTATGCCGTGGAAAGAGTTAGTCAAGGTTCCGGCTAGAACGAAAGTCGTGGGTTTTCACCGGCTACTCCTTCCACAGTTTGACAGGATGGCCGGTTGAGATCATTCCAAACTGACTATAACCCTTCCTTAGTAGCGCTCCGTGATCAGACACGAGTGTATAGCGGGTTGGGTCGAACCTGGGTGAAAATGACTCAATAAACTAAATAGAATAAAAATTTCCCCCCTCAGAACAGAAACGTGATTTTGACAAAATGTCAAGGGCGAAAATTTCTGGCATTTCCTTTACGCTCGTTATAACTGTCCGTTACTAAAGTCCAGTTGCTGCACCGCCAGGATTTTGTTTCAAGGGGAGGGGGCAACTTAAGGGAACGGGGGAATGCTCCCTCAGAAAATTATCACTGTATGCCCCCCCCCCCATCCTTAGCGGCGCCACTGCTAACGACGATCTGGGTTTTTTTTACCAAAACACATCTGTCTTACAATGCAGAGTGAATTCATCTCAAGTTAAACCTACTCTTCCTTTCTTATTATGATAACGAGGCTTTCCCGAGCAGTTGAATACAACCAGACACAATTAAAGAATCTTTGATGTAAATTTCTTTGTTAAAGAGAAATTATTTACAACTGTGGTAAATACTTTAAGATTACGTACTTCAATTTAAGAATTGATGCGTCAGTCAATTCAAGTATTTTTTGCCTTCAGGAAGAGTTCAATATATTTTGTATTCATGTTATTTTTGATTTGAGACAGATACAATATAACTTGTTCAACTTGATCATCATTTTTGCGGTTTAACCGCAGTAGTTGAACCATAACCTGTTGTCCATAATACTATATTCATAAACCAACGTTGAGAGACGCCTGTTTAAATATTACTTTAATAATCATAATAATTCCTTTTGACTTGCGTGTTATAAGATGATTAGTGTGCATGGTTACAAGGTAATCTTATATTCCGCTACACCACAATTGCATGTCAGTTACAATATAGTAAGTTGTGATCCATTTAGCCTCTTAGAGCTAAAAATATATGTTATCATCAGTCATCATGCTTTATATTACATACTTATTTCATAAAGACTATATTTTGTCCAACATTACAAAGATAGTCACTTCTGATTCATTTGAATTTTAGTTTTCAAAGCATGAGTATGACGTCACTACACTAGTTGCCTTTGTTAGGCTACGACCTACGTCCACACCAAATGGAAATAATAGATAATATCTATTATTTCTATGGTCAACTGTGGCCCACACTAATCCGTTTTCGTAATAGAGAGGTAAAGATCGATGTTTACGGCAGAACTGCAAATGGCAAACTTCAAGTCGTATTTTGAGATCAACTAACGGTTCGAAGTTAGGACAATTTGTGCACCAAAATTAAAACATGAATTAGCTAAAAACTTGTCGAAACCTTCAAAAACTTGTAGAACGTATCTTCAAATGCGATTTGGCGTTTGCTTCACTACATTAGACCATTGTTCTCTATTCCATTGTAAACGGAGACCAATAAGGCTATAGTATCTCGCACTGACATGGTTTGCATGTATAAGTGGTTAGTGGTTTCCAACTAGTGGTGGTGCGGGTCAAATCTGAACCTCGCAAATAATTTCACAGTAGTGTAGTATTTATTCTTGCATGTTTTATATGGTGTAAAGGCCTGTAAAATCAGTATTACGTTGTCCTGTTTGTAGTCCGTAATATGTCGTGTTTTAGTGTTAGATGGATGGACTTAGTATGGGATTCTAGTTCTGTTGTCCAATCCTGTATTTTTTATGTAATATGATTGTAAAGTTAATAAAAAAAATACGAAAACGAACACGGATTAGTGTGAACGTAGCCAGAAGTTTACCGTATTTGGAGCGCTATAGTTTGGTGAATCATGCGTTTTTAAATCAGCCAATGAGAACAGAGATCGCATCAGCAATGACGTCACTGTTGACACGTTCACTGACCAGACACGGACAATGATATA